CAATGGTCTCTTTTCTCCAGGCATTCCCATAGCCGTTCTGAGAGCACACGCCCAGTCATCAACTTGGACGACGAAGACGCCTTCATGGCGCGCAAGCAGCCGAACCTAGCGCCTCCACCGAGTGCGTTCAATCAGCGAAGGAGTATTGCGAGGGCGAATCCAGTGCGGTCGTCAGTGTCGGATTCAGGGCATGGGTATTTTGCGATAGGAGGAGGAGAGCGCGCGGTGGAGAGATTGAGAGCGCAGATAAACGTTGAGCCACAGGCGGGTACTAGCCGTGACCATCAAGCCCTACGCAACAAACCGCTTCCTGCACCTCCAGATTCACCACACTCTCCCCAAGAATCTCAACATGCACCACCACCTTTAACGCGCCACAACACCTCGAGCAACGCACACGCCTCCTCCTCCGAAGAATTCGCAGAATCGCAATTTGGGCATTTCACCTCCGAACCTAGCATCGACGAATTCGGCGCACCTCCTTCATTGACAGGACACGATTTCAGCGCACCTGCACATTACTATAACTCATATTCTGATTTAGGTCACACAAGTGCGGCCGCAACAGGATATGGTGTGTGGTCTGACGCAGGACACGGACCTGGCTCTGCGTATTGGCAGCAAACCGAATCGGAAAATCGTTATGCTTATGCTGCGTCCGAGCCGCATTTATCTGGGGGAATTGGGGTCGTTTCGGGGCAGATATACGCTTCCGAGTTAACGCTCTCTCCTGTTAATCAAGATGGACCCATTGGCATCTCACGGCGATTTTCCGCGTCACAATCCCAAGTCGCGCATACGGGAAGGAAGTTAAGCTGGGGTGAGAAGCTGAAAAGGAGTATTTCGGGCAAGTTGGGTGGGAGGAATCAGCGGGATGGGAATGGGAGGATGGAGAGTCAGCCGGAATTTGAGATGGTTGGTGAGAGAGGTGGTGCTGGGAGGGATGGGACGGAAGGGCTTAGAGAAAGAAACACAGCCGAAGAAGAACTGCTAACCATCCTCCGTACAGCATCTGGCGTCGAGGCCGAGCCATACCCATACCCCCATCCACACGCATATCATTCTCGCCATCCATATCCCTCGCAATCACAATCACAATACCACTCAAGCACGACGGATACCCCAACTCATACCCCCACCCAAAGCAACGCCCAAATCCAAGCCCGCTACGCCCAAACACAGACGCATATACCGTCCTCAATATCCGAGCCAGGACACGGGCCGCTACTCCCCCAAGCGCGCCCCCGTCCCCGCCCGCAATCCAAATCCCAAGTGCACCTCGCGACGCCCTTCCCGTCCACGCGGCATTCAACCCCCTCAGGATCGAATCTAACACTTCAGCCTGGGAATAGGTTCTCTAGTGCCTCTGCGCCGGGCTTTCATACCTCAAATGCATCGACGTCGAACAGGTTTTCGACTACGTCGGGCTCGACGACGGGCTCGTATTTTCATCCGCATAGTAATGCGAATGACCCGACGAATACTACGCCGAAACCTTCCCCTGTGAAACCCACGAACAAACTCCGTAAACACGCGCGTTCCAAATCCGGCTCTAACTCCTCCACTCTTCGTCCGTTTGCATTATCCCTCGTATCCACGCCCTCGGAAAGGCCAGATGCGATATCTGTGAAATCATCGCCCGAGTATCTGCATACTGCCAATACTACTGCTAGTAGCGTCCATTTGCATTCACCCTCGCAAGCCCAGAAAGCGAAGTTGAAGAAAGCTAAGAGGGGTTCAAAGGCCGTTGTTAATGGTAATGGTAATTCAGCTGCGGGTGCGTCTTCTTCGACGTTCACGTTGAACCCCACCCTCCCGAGTGTATTTCCGTATCCGGATGACGTTCCGCTTCCTGCACACCTCCAAAATCCACCCCATCATCCACCCTATCACCCACACCCACACCAACCGCAATCCCTCTCCCCGACGCCAACTCCGCCCCTCTCAAAGACCCACCGTTCCTTATCCACACCTTCACGAGGGTATTTCTCGTTTGGCAATAACTCACGAACGAAAATTACATCGCCCATTTCATCAGATGGTCACAGTAACATTTCGAGCCCGAGTAGCTCGATTGTGTGGATGAAAGGCGAGAGGGAGGATACGTCGATGGCTGTCCCGCCTGTGCCTGCTATTCCTGCTGAATTTGGCGGGCCGCGCTCGGGGTATGCGAATGGGTCAAAGTCACAACCTGCCTCTGTCTCGAGGACGTCGAGCTCGATGTTCGGATTGGGGATGGGGCGGAAGAATAAGAGTAGGAAACGGGTGAATGACGTCGTGGAGCAGGAGCAGGAGCAGGAACAAGAGGTGTATGTGCGACCTGCGATCCCGCCGATGAGGTCGCTTTCGCCGCTGGAGATGCAGTTTGATTTTGGGAGGGAGAGTATGGATGGGGTTGTTCGGAGGAGTGTGAGTTATTTTATTTTTATTTTTTTGGATTATGATACTGATTTTTGGCGTTTAGTTCTCAGATGCGAGTAAATCGTATTCTGCGCCTGATATCACCGGGCTATTCCAACCGCAACATGCCGCTGCTGCTCCCGCTTTACCAGCTGCGTCATCGCGTTCTTCGTCAAATACGACCACGACCACGTCTGCGAACATCGCCACGCCTTCTCCCTCCAAATACAAGCCCAAATCCCGTTCCCTCACCCTCAACCTCTTTTCGCCTTTAACTCCTCTCTCCACGCGGACGCGATCCAAGTCCAAGTCGAGGGAAGGCTCCAGCTCGACGTCTCCTCTCCCCGATGAAGTCGAAGCCGACGTTAAGAAGGATAGGGCGCTCGTATCCTCTTCACAACGTCGATCATTGTCTTTGCTCAATACGAATATCAACGTCGATAAAGACGGAAAAGAAGGACGAAGCATTACACCTGAACTGAAGACTGCACCTCCGTCTGCGTTTAACGTCAACCTGAACCTTAACCTTAACCTCGATATCAACGTTTCTGGAACGAAGAATGATAATACTACGGTCACAGGTACGACTCTCCCTGGACCAAATCAGTTATTGGGCCCCGGCCGACCTTCCTTCCTCCGCACGCAATCCAACCGTCGTTGGACCCTCGCCGTCTCAGAAACGCCGGAAGATCAACTTTTGCATGAGCTTGATCGTCTAAGGAGTATTGGGTGGGGGCTCGGATTCCAAGGGGAGCTGTTTCGGAGGGACGAGAGGATGCCGGGCGTTGACGGGATAAACGACGTTGGTGGAGTTAATGTGGGAGAGAAATGGAGGAAAGAAGAGATGGAGGAGTGGTTAGGCGCGAGGAAGGCGTTATTGGTGTGTCGGGAGATCGTTAGGACTGAGAAGACGTATCGGGAGGGGTTGATCAAGCTGCAGCGGGGGGAGGTATGTCATTTCATTCCATCCCTATTCTTTCTTCTCTCTTATTAACGACGTCCTATTTACTCTTTATTATAGACTCTAAAAAGGCCACCTCCATTGCTTCTACAGTACCTCCCCGCCTTAATCTCTGCATCTGAAGAACTTTCCGCGCGTCTGACTGAAGATCCTAGTGCGTGGGGTGTGAGCGTCGCGTTTATCGGAGCGGAGGAAACGCTGGAGGTTGCGTTTGTGGCGTGGTCGGGCGTTGTGGGCGAGTTTTTTGGGGGACCGGTGGGGTCTAGGTCGAATTCGAGGTCGAGGAGTCGGTTGAGTCGGAGTCGGAGGGCTAGTGCGGTGGGTAGGACGCCTTCGGGGTCTACTGCTGAAGTTGCTGCCAGTACAGGTGGAGGAGGAGCGAAAGGCGGAGCGATGGCGGCGGGGTGGAGAATCAGCATGGGGGCGGTGTCGCAATTGTTGGCGAGCTCAACAGAGGCGAGTGTAGTGAGGAGGACGAGGTATATTGCAACAAATGGGGGAGGGGTGACAGCAGAGAAAGTGCCGAGTGTGCAGGATTTGGCGATTCAGCCTACGCAGAGGGTTATGCGGTATGTTTTGCTGTATAAGGGTGAGTGCTCCTCTCTTTCCTCTCTGGCTCTCAATGGGGTGGTTACTGATTTAGACGTGGAATAGACCTGCTGAACTCGACGCCGATATCGTCCCCTGCGAGGGCACCGGTGGAGCGCGCGTTGGAGGGCGCAACGAGAATTGCGCAGAGGTGTAATCGTGCTCAGGATAATGCGGAGTTTTTGATGTGATTTGTGCAGCGTTATCTTTTATCGCTTTTTGGGGGTTGATTTTATTTGGTTTCTGGGTTAGACGGGAAGTGCTATCGTTTCTTTTTCTTTCCTTTTTTTCCCTCGTATTGCCTATCATTCTGTGTCACCATCATTTGTTTCTTGTTCCTTTTCTTTTCTCCTTCCTCTCAGCATCGCAATATCTTTTTGCATCGACACCCATCATCATAATCCTACTCATCATCATACCATGCATACCCTTTGGATCCGGATATATCTGTACCATATTTAGTAAAAGCTTCTCTCCTTTCATTTACTTACTTACCCAACCAAATGCAATCCAAAATCTTGTAGCAGAGCATCATTTCAAGAAAGCGTTCTGGCAGGATCAAATGTGAATGATTGAACTTAAAATACGATATTGTAATGAACGGGATAGGTAAGCGTCTTCAGCGAGTCCTGAGACCTCCAGACTTCTGGCAGCGAGCTCATTCACGGAAGTTTGATCAGCCCTGAATACTGAATATTATTCTTTTATCCCAAGAATTTATCGGCCGCCCGTTTAAAAATTTCTCCAGTCAGTTTGAAGAAGAGAGAATCCCCATAATGCGGAAGCCATTCTTGAGTGAGGGTGGCGTGTCGACATTTCCGTTATCCCGCTGCGATTCAGACGGAGATTTCAAAGTTCAAGTTGCCACCTGCAAGGAAACTTTATAAAATACATGCCTCTAATTTATCCGAATCGGGTCATAGCAGCATTGAAGTCAAATCAATATTTAATTTTATTGAGAGCACTGGACTTGTAGCTTGAGGAGTTCTTAAGTTCATCGGCGGCGTCTTAGCTAAGCTTAGATATATGGTAGAAGAGTAGGAATATCACCGCCGCGTTGGCCCAATGGTAAGGCGTCTCTTTCCTATATTGGGTTTTCAACAGGAGAAGACTATGGGTTCGAGTCCCATACGTGGTAGTAATTTTTTTTCTTTTATCTGATGGTCTTTGTATAATTTATAAGTGTGTCACGTCTCTATCTATTAGCACATAAGATTTCCGTACTATCGTTCTCGCATTCATTCCCTCCCACTTTTGCCAGTGCTAGTAAACCCAAATTCCTTGGCAAGACTAGCGCCCAACTTCTCCGCATTCTTTACCCGGCTGCCAGTGAAATAAATAAAAATGTTGAGTTAATAACATCACATCATTCAATCCAATTTTAGGCTCACTCGTCATAATCGGTACGAATGGGCACACCCTGTCCTTTAACGGTCAGAGGACGTTCTTTTATCCGATCTACCC